ATAAATGTTCTTCACAACTTTAAGTAACTTGCACTTGCTTTGCTCTAATGAGATATGAACACATTCATTACTCTATAAAACACATCACTTTTAAAAGAGTAAAATTAACGATTTAGCATTTGAATTGTTACCACTGTAAAAATTAATTACAAAGTCTATAAATAATATTGTTACGAAATATACAGGTGAGGTAGGATAGCTTCTCCCGCAAAGCAGGTTTAGGGTTGCCATAAAATGGCATGGGAAGGCAGGTTGCTAAATTTGGTGACAAAATTGGCGATATACCATGGACGGTTGGAGAACATTCTGGAACAAATTCTTACCAGTTTAGTCTAGAATGTTCTCAAACACAAGCCGAAAGCTATATAAACCCTGCTGGTCCGCAGTGTGGGAGAGAGTGCCTCGCATAGAGTGTTAGTTAGTTAGTATCGAGTTGGTGTCTCGACTAGCGAGTCAATCGAGTTGACAGCTGGGCAGCGAGTGCCGAGTGGGTCGTCGAGTGCATCGAGAGAGTCTCGTAGTGTATCACGGTTAGTGCATCGTCAAGAGAGCATGTTGAGCTCTGAGAACGACTGAACCCAAGAGTCTAGAGCCATGCTCTGTGTGTTGTCGAGTGCATCGCAACTTGTAGCGTGGAGAGTCTCGAGAGTACGTGGAGTTCCGAGAACGACCAAACCGAGTCGGGAAGCTGTACTCTTGTACTCTGCAGTGAAGCTGTCTCCATCGGTATAGCTTGATAACCTGGAGGCTGTGTCGCTGATTGTGTCAGTGTGTTTATAGTCGATCTTCGACGACTGTAAAACGTGATTTTGGAGCTGTCCTGATTAATATTGGCTAAATAAAGTGTATTTTGATACTTCATTAAAAAGTCTTATTATTCCACACAAATCCACACGAATCCCATACGAACATGAAGGAAGAAAAGGCTGATCTTTAGAATATGGTAACTGGTAGTTTGGTGACATTTTGGAGGCGATAAAGGTTACTACCTGGGACTTTGGTAATAATGTGAGCAGTACTCAGTTCCAATTACGCATTATTTTGTGTGAAGGAAATGAGAGATCATGGGATATGTCATGTGATATTAATGGACGAATTACGGTTCTTTAATCGGAAAAAGGGGGAATTTGGAAAAATATCTGTGGCTGTATATTATTTTGTATTAAGCTTCATTGTGTGGTTGTGTGAAGTAGGGAGGGTTGAATATTTTTTGGGATTGTATGACACTGTCTAAAGTGAATTCTAGATGTGATAAAGAGAATTTTGCTTTTTATTTAGCAGAGGAAGTGTGGAGGAAAAATTTGCAGAAAAAATCGTTCAATAATTTTATTGAATCCATATAAAAGTGTATCCACCATGTAAGCAAGATTCTGAAGAAGATTAGGTAAGTTAGTATTTTTTAATTATTTGAGGATATTATTTTTATGCATTGTTCTAAATGTAAGGTGGAAGTAAAGTAATTTGGTATTATTTGGAAAATTGTTATTTAGCAATGATTTAGTTTAAAGTAATTAGGATTGTAAGCTATTTTTATTAATTTAATGTATGTGCTTACTTATATTTTAAGTAGTGTTTTTTGAATTTAATGATATTTTAATTAAATGATAGTTATTTTGTGAATTTTATATGTTTGTAGGAATTTGGTATACGTTTTAGTTGAAGTAAACATGCATGGAAATAATTTAAATATTTGACACTAAGTATTTGTCATGTTTGCGGTATGAATTCGTTGGTGACGTTTATAATATAATAGATAATAATTTAGAAGTAAAAGTTTTTGGATATTTTATTTATTTTATACGTGGAAATGTTCATATTTGAAAAGGGTATATACTTTTCTTTTTTAGGTAATTTCATATATGTTCTTTTAACGGGTTTAAAGATTCAGAAAATTGTCATGCATTTTCGTGAAATTTTTCTAATTTATGAGAAAAAGCAGTGTACATGGATATGGTGAAGAGTGAGCGCAATGCCATTTTTGTGCAATTCTGGGATTTTTTTTTTTTAAGTAAAAATAAGTCGACGTGTACATGGTTTTAGTGATATTTTAATTAAAATTAGTTATTTTATGTTTGTAGAATTTTATGTTTGTAGGAATTTGGTATACATTTTAGTTGAAGTAAACGTGCATGGAAATAATTTAAAATATTTGACACTAAGTATTTGTAATGCTTGCGGTATGAATTCGTTGGTGACGTTTATAATATAATAGATGATTTAGAGGTAAAAGTTTTTGGATATTTTATTTATTTTATATGTGGAAATGTTCATATTTGGAAAGGGTATATACTTTTTTCGCGATCAGGTAATTTCATATATGTTCTTTTGTTCTTTTTACCGTTGTTTTTTACCGGGTTTAAAGATTAGAAAATTGTCATGTATTTTCGTGAAATTTTTCTAATTTTATGAGAAAAAGCACTGTACAAAAACATGGATATAGTGAAGAGTGTGCGCAATGCCATTTTTGTGTAATTCTGGGATGTTTTTTTTAAGTAAAAATAAGTCGACGTGTACATGGTTTATATGTATGTGTTATTTTGAAAAAACGTGTACGGAGTATGGTATTGTGCACTTTTTCCCAATTTTGCAGTGAATATTGTTTGTCATGATTAAGCAGTTTTGTTAGATAAAATTTCTAGCATAAGTGTAATTCGGCTAGTAGATTGTTGGGAAGAAGTGTTCAGTAGATAAAAAGAAAAGAAACACGTCTTTACTTTGTGAAGACAAAATGGCGGTGGGAAAAAAAAAAAACAGAGGGTTGCTGTAGGAGAGTTGGTCGCCAAATTTTCACCAAAAAATCGCCAAGTTACCATAATCTAAAGATCAACCGAAGAAAATACCGTAACGACTGCCGTCAGAAAAGAAAAAAAAAAACGCAACAACTGGCATCAGAAGTGGGATTTGCGAGTGAATACCAGTAAACCGCTTGCAGAGGAAAGCCATGGCGGAGGAAACGAAGACTTTGATGGACTTCTTAGCCGAGATGAGGGCTGAGATGAAAGCCAGGCAAGAGGAGATAAATGCTGAAATCAAAGCCGGACTGAAAAAGATGAAAGCCAGACTGGAAGAGAAGAAAGCCAGACGAGAAGAAATAAATGTCGGCCATGAGAAGGTGCGAGATCAACTCCAGCAGGTGAAAGTGGAGCTTACAGAACTGGAGGCATAAAAGACGATGTGAAGATGAGAGAAATGGCTTCTGAAGAGTCAAAGGATGAAGAAATGAAGGAAGTAGTTAACGACCTGCCTGAAAAAGATAAAAAAATGATTGATGAAACATCTAACAGGATTAAAGAAAAAGAACGAAAACGTGAAGAAATAAAAGACGGGAAAGAAGTTTTTTGATTCTCAATTGCCTGAAGTGGAAGAAAATGAAAATGCGACTGTTAAGTACGTCAAAACCGATAGTGAAACTATCAAGCCGCAGTTAGCAAATATTGAAACATCTGAAAGTTCATATGATGCTGAGATGGAAGAACCTGATGTACAACTTATGCAGAGTGCTCCAGTACTGCAAGAAAATTCACTGACCTCGCAAACTATGTGTGTGCCTCATAGTGCAGGTTGTGCAGACAAGGACTTCATTCTAAACCAGGATACTTCTACTTGTAAAGAATTGGATTCTGCTCAAGACTCTAATGCAAACAACGGAAATGATTTTAAGGAAATAGAGGTAAATCAGCATATACCAGTGGCTGAAAATACTGAGGTGAACTGTATACATGATGTGAATAAACTACAAAATTGGTGAACAAACTGTTTCAGATCATTCTGTAGATGAAAAGTCGGAAAGGACTGAATTTTCAGAATAAGATATGCAAAACATAAATATATCTGAGAACTGCAGTGGAAAAGTAGTTGACATGGGTATATTTTAATGAAAAGACCAAGACTGAAATTCATTACAAACTTTAATTTGTATAATTTAAAAATTGTTATGAGTTTAATTTATGTATATAACTTGTACATAGTGTAAATATTTATTTCTTTAGTTGTGTTATTTGTTTGTTTTATTATGTTTTGTGTGTAACGAATTTGGCTTCTAACCAAGGGTTGTACTGCAGTCCTGGGAGCGGCAGTGTTACGAAATGTACAAACATGGTGGGATAGCTTTCCTTCAAAGCAGATTTATGGCTGCCGTAAAATAGCAAGGGAAGGCAGGGTTACCACATTTGGTGAGAAATCGCCCATTTGGTGACAGCGATATACCATGGACAGTTGGAGAAACTTCTGGAACAAATTCTTACAGGTTTAGTCCAGAATGTTCTTGAACACAAGCCAAAAGCTATATAAACCCTGCTGGTCTGCAGTGTAAGAGAGAGTGCCTCGCATAGAGTGCAAGTTAGTATCGAGTTGGTGTCTCGTCTAGCGAGTTAATCCCTGCAGAGTCGATCCATTTGACAGCCAGGCAGCGAGTGCCGAGTGCACCGAAAGAGTCTCGTAGTGTATCGCGGTTAGTGAATCATCGAGAGAGCGTGTTGAGCTCCGGGAATGACTGAACCCAAGAGTTGGAAGCTGTGCTCTGTGTGTCATCGAGTGCATCGCGAGTTGTAGTGCGGAGAGTCTCGAGAGTACGTGGAGTTCCGAGAATGACCGAACTGAGTTGGGAAGCTGTACTCTGGTGCTTTGCAGTGAAGCTGTCTCCACCGGTACAGTCTGATAGCCTGGAGTCTGTGTCGCTGATTGTGCCAGCGTGTTTATAGTAGATCTTTGACGACTGTAAAACATGATTTTGGAGCTGTATACGCTTTGTATTGGTAAATAAAGCGTGTTTTGATAGTTTATCAAGAAGTCCACACGAACCACACGAACCCGTAAGAATGTGAAGGAAGAAAATAACATAACAACTGGTGTCAGAAAAGAAAAATGCAACAACATGCAAGCCTCTTACCAGAAAAGTGTAAAGTTTATTAAATCAACAGCTATAATTAAAAAACAAATTGCAATGCTAAAATCAGAGATAGAGAGGGGAAACCTTTAATCTGAAAATATAATATACTTACTCGAAAACTGTGCTATCATTCTGGTCACCCCATATAAGAATTTCAGCAATTGATCGCAGGGTTTCGACCAATAAACCTTTGTTTTGATCATGAACAATTTGATTTTTATACAGAATATGATACAGATATCTAAAGACAGACAAGAAAGATTTATGTTAATATGTATCTATAGATGCTTTTTTTTTTCCGCAAACATGATAGCCGCAAAAGTTTTCACACATTAAAAAAAGGTTCTCTTGATATAATACAGATTACAAAGTACATAAGTATATTTAAATTTACAAGCGAATATCAAGTAACATCAGGAAGACACTTATTTTTGGACTGCACTTAGAAGCATTAGCTCATGCAGTTTTGCAATGAAATAATGATTTTTATTAAACCGAAATGCAAATGATGGATAATCTACAATATGTTGAAAGTATTGAATATGAATTAATATCTATTATTTTTTATTTGCAGGAACAGCATAATCTTGCCCTTTATCATATTAGTTTACAGAAACTGTTAATGATAGATCATTAAAAAATTCTGTACTGTTCTGTTATCAGGACTGGATTAAGAAATGTGTGCATGTATATACAGATGTATCTGTTCCTGTTTGCATGTATATATGTAAGTACTATTGCATGTGTGTATATGCATATGTGTGCACATACATGCATTTCTGAATCCGAAAAAAAAAAAAAAAAATTAAAATCTTTTCCAACATATTAATGAGAGATTATTATAGCCATGGAAATCATTTATATGAATTATAAGTAATAACTTCCACTATATTCTTGGCAACTATTATAAAAACACATGACAATGATATAAAATCTAATCAGTACAGAGGGATAAAAATCTTTCTGCAGTTATTAAAATATACTCTTCCTGTTTAAGGATTTTAAATTTAAAATATTTTTTTAGATGGCTGAAAAATATATACCACATTTCATCATATATTTTTACCCCTAGACTTTTAGTGGCAGGTTTTGAAAATTAAAAAAAATATATATTTGCATAATTTTCTTCTTCCTTAACCCGCGGGAAAGCGTGTGGGGTGTATCATACCCCACCTCTACAAAAAAGTGGAATATTCCTAACTTGTGAAACTGTAATTCTGTGCTGCATTCAGTAGCTGAGTTTTCAGCAGTGGTTGTCTTTCAGAACTGCTTCTCCGTTGCCTTTGTGTTTCAGAAAAAGATTTATCGGTATTTTGGGCTAATCTTTGGAATATGGTAACAGGTAGTTTGGCAACATTTTGGTAAGGCGATAAAGGTTACTAGCTAGGACTCTAGCAGTGTACATGGATAAAGTCAAGAGTGTGCGCAATGTCATTTTTGTGCAATTCTGGGATATTTCTTTAAGTGAAAATTGGGCGACGTGTACATGGATACCGTGTATGTGCAATTCTTAAAAACGCGGCAAGCAGTGGGCGATTCTGCTCTGTCTCCCAATTTCGCACCTAATCTTTGTCATGATTAAGTACTTTTGTTCCATAAAAGTTCTAGCATAAGCGTAATTTGGCTACCAATTGTTGGAAAAAAATGTTGAGTATAAAAATAAAAAAAAAAAGCCTTTACTTCGTGAAAACAAAATGGCATCCAAAACAAAACTAGCAAGTTGCTGTAGCAGGGTTGGTCGCCAAAAAATCACCAAGTTACCATAATCCACAGATTAACCGCATTTTGTTGGAACTGGGGTATAACACACCCCACGCGCCTGTCCGCGTAAGTTCTTTTGAGACAATATTTATTTGAGAAATTTATTTCTAGAGTGAAACAGTAAATATTTCCACTCGTAAAAGATTTCAAATAAATATTTCCACTCGTAAAAGATTTCAAATAAATATTTCCACTCGTAAATGATTTCAAAGTGTTTGAAATTATATTTTTAGAGATTTCTGATCTTATTATGGCAAGTGGAGATGGAATTGCAGCTGGAATTACTGTGAGAATTATTAGAAATAGTTGAAAGTGATGAAGATTGCATTTCGGAAACTGAAAATGAAGATTGGAGTATTTTCTACACTTTTTGGGTTTCGAAAAAAAATAAAACATTAATTTCTTATTTTCCTAAAAAAAGGAAAAACTATTCTAACGCTTTCAACATTACACAACACTTATACTATACTACTTATACTATACTACTGAAGAAAAGAAAATGCAAGAAATTATATGTTTTTATAATATGACTAAGAGAGTGGTGGATACTGTGGATGAAATAGCAGCAAGTTTTTCAACTGCCAGTATAAAAAGGAGGAGGCCGATGCTAATTTTATTATCTGCACTAAAGGTTGATGCAAATGATTTTCGAATTATAATACTTTCAACTGCTATTCCACCAACCAAATACTGAAGCAGATGTCTCTTTTTGAGGGACATAGTATTACAGTTAATAAAAAAAGTACTGAACAACGATCAGAGATTAATACTTTATCGAGAGACTTACGTACAACATGCAAAAAAAGAGCAGAAATTTTGACGAATAATTCACACGAATATATGAAATTTGAAGCAACTAAGTATAAAAGATGTGATGAATTTTTTTTTGCCCTCGAGCCAGGGACAGAAGAACGCAAATGCGATGTTTAAAAATGAGAACTTTCTGTGCCAAGAACACATAAATATATTTTATTCAAAGTGTAAACAGATCAAATAAAGATTGTGTATTAGAGATTCAATAAGACCAAGGAAATGATTTTTATTTTATTATTATTTTCATTTATCTTAATTTTAACTTTCTATAAGCTTATTTTGGAAATTAATTTCTTGTAACCCACGTATTATTCATGAGTTATAAAAAAAAATAAAGCTTTACAGTTAAATAAAATTACTTTTACCATATTTTAAATATTGCGGTATGCGATACCCCACGCGCCCACTCTAGTAACTTTTCTTGATGAGCCTTCCGCCGGGTTGTGTTTAGAGAGCAAGTTCACTTAAATTTTTTATGTAGATTACTCCATTTTGTGATTGTTTTCACCTTTCTAACAAGGACAAACCTTTTAAACTACCTGTTTAGGTCAAGCCAACCTTTCCCTTCTAACCGTTGAACTTTATGCTAGTCTTATAAAAAAGCTGATAAATCACAGTGAAGAAAACACAAATTGTCTACGACTACACTATGGCAGCTGCACATTCACCTCCTTAAAATCATTTATGAATGATTTGTGGCCTAAGGAGAAGCAAAGAACAATAAAAATGGACACGATTCAAGTTACACAGATGTAGAAATGAAGATATCTTATTAGATATAATAATGTTAACATGTATTCTTATTTTAATGTAGGTTTCTTTTAAATAAATATTACGTTTAATTTATTAAACGTAATATTTATTTAAATTTGTTACACTCCCACTAAAACCGCATCCTTCGAAAATTAAGTTATTTGCAAAATTTTCCCCTCCCTACTTTTGGACGATCAAATTAGTAAAAAAAAAAAGAGAAGGCAATGATCACAGACAATTCAACCGTATATCGCAAATACATCTATACCCATCATGAAACTTACCTACAACACCTCAAAATCGACCAATACTGAATCTTTAAAAAATTTTACAGTGACTAAAGTGCAGAACTGCCCACTTATTTGTTTGGCACTTTTTACAAGAGTAAGAACTGGATTTTTGTCCATTTTGTTTGACTTTTTAAGTGAAAATAGGTTGATGTGTACATGGATAAAGTCAAGGAAGTGCACACTGCCATTCTTGTGCAATTCTGGGATTTTTTTTAAGTGAAAATAGGTCGATGTGTACATGGATATTGAGTATGTGCATTTCTTATAAACGCGCCAAGCAGTGGGCGATTCTGCACTTCCCCCTTTACAGTAATTTCTAATGCGATTCTGGTAGTCTAACTACAAATAAGTAATCATTTAGCGACTGATTCTGTGCTATTTTTTATTTAGATATTCCACCCTCAAAAAAAAGTGTCATTTACTATGAAATTCTTCTAAGATAATTAAATAAGACTAATACTTTGTCTTTTTTAATTATCTTAGAAGATTAAAAAAGTACCTATTAAAAAATACCTATGTGTTGAATTACCTATTAAAAAATTATACATATAATTTCTGCTTAAGATCATTGAATACCGAAAAGACAGTATATACATATACACACGACAACAAACTCACTTAAGATGCTCTAATGAGTGAGGGTTTTTTGGTTTCCACATTCCGCCTGAAAACCAGCCTTTACCACGAAACATTGCTAGAATACATTCGAATTAATTTAAATTACCAGTAGTAAATATATACAAATAAAGCCCTAACTTCGCCGTAATAATCAGTATATAAAACAGCAGGTGAAAATACAGTTAAAAGTTGCCAGACAGACAGCCAGATGTCTTGTTTTGCACTCACTATGTCTTTCTGTCCACAGTGCGAAAAATAAAACTTAGGTACCAAGGAAAAGCAAATAGAGGATGGCAATTTTGCTTGATAGAAAAATAATTTCGTAGAATTTTTTAAAGCCAGGTAAAAAATGTGGGTTAAAAAAGGGAAAAAATAAGACCAACATTATATATAAAAAGTATATTTATGGGCCTAAAGAAAAGATAGAGAAAATTAAAGAGCGTGAAGTAATCTAAACATGAATATGTTCTAAAGCGCAAAAAAAACTGTGTTAAAAATGAAGGAATTTATGTAACCTATCACCTCACATAATGACGGGCCTAATGTGCAATAGTATGCTGAGCGAGTTATTGAGATTACGAAGCTAACTAAGTGAAAAGGGGTTAAAAAAAGGAGCGAATGCTTTGTTGCAGTAATTGAGCATTCCTAAACATTTGTTTCTCATCAGAGCAAAAACAAAGCTAAAAGAAACTCTTATCAGAAGTGTGGCGCTCTGAAGACCGTGAGGGTGCTTGAGCTAGTTGAAAGTGCCGGTAAAATGAAGGAAAAGGAGGGGAATGATGGGGGCCCAGTTACATAACAATTTAAAATCTAGTCGTCGACGATCGTCATTTAAATTGAAGCATCCGAAAGCAGCGCTTGCGCTTTCTTCATATCTGATGGGAGCATCTGGGAAGGAGAAGTGAGGGCCGTTCGACTGGTTCCAGCGGGCCGATGCTATTCGCACCAGCGGTGCGATTAGCCGCTTGAGCTATTCTCACCAACATTAACAACGCATGTGCATTGAATCGTCGGATCCGTCATTTGAACCCAATCAAAAAGAACGGATTCTACTTACGCGAACTGCCTAAGTGTTGTAGTGAATCTTTTTTTTTAAAGGCAGGTTACTACCTTGGCGTAGTTTAACATTTTGTAAGCGCTGGCGACTTTCAAAAGATCACAAAGGAAAATGGGTTCCTTTTCTTATATATATAAAAAGAAGGAACACATTTCCTTTTATTAAAGTATATATAAAAAGGGCAGATTTTTATGTTTGCAATGTTTATCGTTTTCCTGAACGGTTGGAATAGTTTAAATGACTAATTTGGGGGGGGGAGACATAATCTTGTTCACATTTTCTAGGCCAGCTGCTATATCTTCTAAATTAAGTTGAGTTTCAACATTTTTAACTGCATGTTTAGTTGTGTACGTATCTTCAATTATTGAGGCTTTTACTCCGACACATTCCAAGGATTTTAATTTACAGACTTTTTTCTATAGTCTTGATTCTTTTCGTGGAAATGATGATTTTTTTCTCTCGCGTGATATAAATATTATCTTCTTTATCAGTAATTTCGTTTAGAATAGAATCTTTTTTGAACAACTTACCAACCGGCATACTAGATTCAGTTCCATTCAGAACAATTCTTACCTCTTTTGTGCCATTTTTAAAAGCTATTTTGACATTGTCAATAGCGATTGTGTCCCCATTTTTTTTCCTCTTTTATTGCTGCCACTGTCCATGTCATTATCTGGTTTACGCTTAAATTCACTAAACATAATCCCAAACAATTCTTCTGGAAACAGAATACATTTGAATTAATTAAATTACCAGTAGAAAATATATACAGATAAACTTATCGCCAAAAGAAAACTTTTCCGTATCAAAAGCACTGAATTTTTTAGCGAAAATAAGTGTGGACAAGTTCACAGCAAACTCATAACTAAAAATCCCGTGTTACGCCTAACGCCATATTTTGCTTATCTATTGCCTACGCCTGATTGCCATTAAATTACTATACATTGATATTATTTTGGATATATTTATTGCTATCTTTATTGGTAAGTAATTATTTTCTTGAATTGGTCTTGCAATCCACGTAGTTATGGCCGGTGCAATTAGCCACTTGAGCTATTCGCACCCAAGGTCCGTAGAAAGAACAGGTTAGCTCACTTGGAGTAAACAAACGAAAAGCCAGCGACTCGTTCGGCTGTGACGTCACTGAAGTTTGCTGTAGCATCTCCTAATAGTAGTTTTGTATTTCCTTTTGAAATATTTTCTGTTTTTCATCGGAAAAGTAAAAATTCTAATATTTGGAGTTGAAACTTAACTACCTAAAATATTGTTTACTGTATAGAATAAGTTTTAAATTACGAAAAGTTCCCTCAGTAATTTACTTGTTTCACCAAAAATCTTCCAAACTTCCTTACAGAATTTGCCTATTCAAGATTCAGCTGTTTATACCGTTACTCATTTTAGCTTCAAACAGATTGAAAACCCACATTTCACAAGAAACTGGAAAATATGTTAGTGTAGTCAGAGCTTAAATTGTGCCGGCTCCGGTACTTTTCAGTTCATGGGATAAATGACAATTCTAGCCGGAAACGCATCGGAGCCCTACATAAGAAGGCTCCGGCACTTCTTTTATGTAATTAACGGAAACTACAATTTCAGTAGAAATTTAATCTCAAAAATTTTATTTTAGCAGCAATAAAATTATATTAAAAATCCCTTATTAAAATGTTAATTTACCTCTTTGCATTTTATTGAATTTTAATAAATAATAATCAATTATCAATTAATGGCTAGATAATAATAATTAATAAATATTAATTGCTAATATTAATTCAATAACTATTTATTAATTTGATAATAATTAACTATTTAATTTTTAAATGATAAATGATTTTAATAGTCATTTTATTTATTTATTTACTCTTGTTCCTCTTTACTAACGGTCTTCCATAGGGTTCCGGCACTTCTAATTTTGAAAATGAAGCCCTGAGTGTAGCGATATAGAAGAAATTCAAATTAAGAATATTTATTCTATAAAGCTGTACAAACTTGTCCCTAATGTTTGGAATCTAATTTGGCTGAAATTTAAATTAATTTTTTGCTAAATTCTACTTTCGGTCCAATTGTTTCTGCAGTACTTGTTTCATTTAGAAATCTCAGTTTACTTGTGGCTTTTTTTTTTTTTTTTTTTTTTTTTCAGATGAACTCGCATGAGCTTTTCCTGTAATATATGATTAATTTTAATAGATTAAAAAAAAGGAAATGCATAAAATTATAAGTCGCTACATTCTAAAACGTGTTTGTAATTTCTTGATGTAAAGCAGCAACAAGAAACATAAACAAATGAACTATTCAAGCTATAACTGAAAGGAAGTGTAATACTTAATCAGCAGCTGCATTATGTAATTCTATATAAAAATTGGGACTTAATTTTAATTTAAATCTTAATTCTTTGAATCCTTTGAATTTTACTTTTTAGCAAAAATAAAAAATAAAAATTTAATAAAGTATTCAGATAGAAGATGTTAACTTTTCATATAAAATAATGATTAAAAGATATTAAAAGAATAGTTGCATATCCTCTATTGTGTTTCGTTATTAATATTGTATATTTAGAATTTTATCTTTTAGGTTTATATATTTATTTCACTTATGTATTGTTCACTACCAGTGTTCAGCGACTTTCCCTCGGCCGCTGGTGGGCAGATATTAATAGGACTGAATGCTGTATGCGTTTGCTTTGGTATCAAAAAAGAAATATGTTTATATAATAACTTAAAGGTGCTACTTTGGTAGACGGTTGCACGGATTTTTGGCGATTTACATTGGCGCAATTGTTGGCGCGGTTTTTACAGTCGTCAGCCATCTTGAAAAAAGCTGTTTTTACGTATTTCACGCATAGTAAAGTATTCGAAACTTTAAAAAAATTAATATCGTTAAAAATAATGGATTAATTTTTTGTTGAAAACGTTGTTTTCATTAAGATGGCTGACAAATGTAAATAAATACATTTACTAAGAGTATAAAATGCTAAAGTAAGGTTAAATTATTACTTTCATATAATAGAATAAAAACATTGCGCCAACATTTAATTGGAATAAAATATTACTTAAATTGAATATTGAATTGAAAACATCATACCAACGTTTAAAAGAATTAAAATTTTTCAATTACTTAAATTCAAATCCTTTAAAATAAGTTTTATAGGATATAATTATTTAACATTAAAACATGTGGCAATAAATATCTCAGGAAATTTTAAAAAATATGTATTAAATTTTTAATAAAAATTGAAGTATACAATAATAAAGTAAAAGAAAAATATGTACTTACATTTTTTTAAGCATTTTACTATACGCATATTGATAAGCACCAGGAAAAAAAATCTTCATCTGTTATCCACATTTCTCGCACTTCATTGAAGAAGCAATTAGCGAGGTTTACTTCAAATATTTTAAATAAATTTCCTCTGACCCTTGTAACAATAAATAAATCTTTGGTTAGGAAATCCAGGTTGGCCAAAATAAGGTCTCAAACGGCATTTTTTTTATGCCGATACCAATAATTCTTGGTAATTACCACTAACAACATCATCTTCGCAACGGAGACATCCATTCGCTTTGAAATCTGAGGAATTCGAAGAGATGAATAATAAAATTTTAAAATGGTGCGGTAATGCACAAATATTCAGTAACCAATCAGGGAGCTGATTACATCACGCCTAGAATTAAAATTATTTAAATAATCATTCATAATAAAATCATATTTAAAAAATGCAAAATTAAATTGTGTTTTAATATTTAACAGCCATAAATAATGTTTAAAACATTAGATTAAATTTATAGATATTAAAACCAATTACTTTTAAAATAATGTGACGTCATTCATTACATCACTCACAACATAAAATTCCATAAAATATCATAAACAATAAAATTTTTATTTCAAATAAAAGTGCAAAATTAAATTCATTTTTATTATTTAGAAGTCATAAACAATAGGCCCACCAGCGGCCGAGCGGTAAAGTCGCTGAACCCTGGTAGTTCGGTCCGAGGTTCGAATCCCGCGAACGGGCTGGCTGCATGGGCGTTTTCGTGGTTTTCCCCATGTGTAACGTGCATACGAGCCAGTTTCCCTTAGAAAGTCCTCCACGAAAGGCATCCCTTCCCTTAGGCAGATAGCCCTCATGTGCTTTGC